CCGCTGCGGTTCAAACGTCTGATTAAAAATTTAGTCTGATCAAATCAGCTTTATTTATTCACAGCGCCAGCGGCTATGCATGATTGGCTGAAAACTAGCATCAAGCTGTACTTGATTAGTGATGTCTGATGAGCTTCTTCCCCCTCATTTGGGGGTTGGAGGGAAGGGTGGTTGAGGGGGGTTGCTGTTGATTTGAGTTGACGAAACTTAATCATGCTAATCAATGGGCTCCAGGGGGGTTCAGGTGGCGGTGGGGGGACCGAGTGATAAATAAAAAAGCGCCTCATTGTAGCAGGAGAGTGTTTCCTGCCAAGGCTGGGAGAATTAGCTCTATTCAAATTGTTTAGATTATGCATTGTGTTGATGGTGGGCTTGCATTTCTCTTTTATTGTTAATACAGTCTGTGTTATTCTGGGCATGAACGCTTTCATTTTTCACTGCTGAATGCTACAAACTTGCCTGAGGCTTTTGAACGCATGTCTTTGTAATAGTTTTCCTATTTTTTCCCCTTCAGCTACTAAATCCAAGATTCACATGAGGTTACGCTGTCACCCAAGCTGCCCCGTTTTCACCGAGCACTGCCCTCAATTGCATCCCTTTTAGATTTAGACACTGAATTAGTATACGCGGGATGCCCCTTCCTAGCACCCAGAGGAACTTTGTTCTTGAGGGTAAAACCATTAAAAGCTTACTGTTAAGTATTTAAAGCATGGCAGAGAAAAGAAAGTTTTTGACCCTTGGATCATTTCCTTCACTCCTACATGTTGCTGAGCTGCGTAACATACATATAATTAACTCAGCGATCAGTGCTGGTGTTTGATGTTAAGTAAATGTTGATGAAAGAGCCTGCAACACCAATGCATCCCTCTGTCATTTGCATAACCCCACTTCTCCAAATTGTGTAAGTTGATGTCTCGCCATTGGAAACACCTCCCTGTGTATTTCTTCAAAGCGTTCATTCTACCATGCCAAACATGGATTGAAAGGAACCTCCTCATGCCCCATTAGAACTTCTAAGTCTGCCAATTAGACTCAAATCTCTTGAAACAGAATATTGGGGGCTGTTATAATGAGAGGAGGGATGGTTCAACTGTCCGTGGATCATCTGAAGAGAGGAAGGAAGTTTGATAGAATGGCTGAAACTGTTCAGGAGGAGGAACTGTTTATTTGATCTTACGTGTGGCTGAATCACTCATTACATTTTCAGGAGGAATAAGTGTCAGAAATATAATGTGGAAAACAACTGGAAGAGGGTCATGAGTTTTAGAGACAAGGGAACCACACTAAACACAAGCTTGATCCAGTGGGGGCTGTTAATATGTGCACAGTAGTATTAATCAAAAATCTGTCATTAGCTCCCCGCTGCTCAAGAAGAGTTGGTTCAGTGAATTATTATGTAATGCTACAAACAGGGACAAATCTAGAGAGAGGCTGTAGTTTGATTAGAGATTCAGAAGATCAAATTTGAACTGTTGGTGAACTTTTAGCATTGTGGCAACAGATTGCTAAGATCTCTCCAAATATGAATGTGAACTGTACGGTGTTAACTGTACAGTGAGATGATTAAAGAAACCCAGAGTCAACTCATGGCTCACGGTTTTTGGGAAAGCAAAACTAAAGAGGGTAATGAGATATCTTGTAGTTGGAGCTGGGTCTCTCTCAGCTGCGGTCGTTTTAATTTGTCACTTCTATTGTGGCACAAAAAAAGGGTTGGGATTTTGCATGTTGTAGCCTCACTTCTCTATAAACCTGCCTACATCTGATGTTTATGGATCAAACAATAATGGTAATTAAACTAATGCATGACATACTCGAATACCATGTGCCTGCCTGCCTGATAGATTGCATTCCAGAGGTGTAAGGTCCCACCACTGTGCTCACACTGGAGGTAGCCACAAAAGTTTTGTTGAGGCAAGATGGGATTATTGTGAAGTGTTGGAGCAAGTAGGGCAGAAAAACTCTCTCTATGTGCATATTTGAGCTCATGCTGTGTATTCACTCCCCATGCAACAATAACATTATAATGTAATGTGAAAGCTCACAGCTCGACACCAATAGTGACACCAGTATTGCACCATTGTGATACTAAACAACACGGTGAGGCCAGAGCACTGTTACAAACGTGTTTCATTATTAAGACCAGTAGTGCTTCGGTCATTGAGTTTTCAATGGGACATTTTCAAACCAGAGGATGTTTTTACTGGTTTGTCTGGAAGTTGAATGTTTTCTGGGTAGAAACAGGGGAAAAGATAGATCCCCATCCTGCTGCTCCACCAACTGAACTTAACTGCACAGATTTTTGTTTCAAATGAAGCCATCAGCATAACACTTAATCACACATTCTGATACTCTGACTTCACTAGAGGAGTTAGAGATGTGTCAGCCATCTTTAATGGTTAAGAGTTCACAGATAAGAGAGAGCTGCTGGTTTTATTTGATTCATTTCAATTTTTTACCCCAAAGCACTGTTGTCACTCTATATGTATGTACTGTGCTGTTTGTTCATCTACTGGCATACAAGTGATTCACTGCAAAAAAAAAAAAAAATACCTGAGGGTACACCTTCACAGATTATGCATTGCTCTCTTTTCTGTCTGCCTTTCAACTCTACACACTACGGAGTGAAACAACATTAATGTAAGCATACTTCAAATAATTACACATTTATGAACCCATGTGTAACTTTTTAAATATTTCACATTTTATCAAACTTTATTTTACTGGAATTAGAAACTAGGATCATATAGAACATACTGCATGCACTAACACATATTGCAGTGATTTCTTAAATAAAGACTTCTGCTTTCAAATGATGAATTTGTTCTGTAAGCCTGTGTATTGGTTTTTCAATATTTGTTTTAGAGGTGCACCAAATTAATATTTGGACTCCTGTATTTCACAGTTTGATGTATTTTGTATTTACATTTGATCTGCTGTATATTGACATTGGTTTATTACTTTACAGTATATTTGTGCCTTGTAATTCTGTTGTTCCCTGGAGAGGAGCAGATTCAGAGAAAGCTACAGCCTTTATTCAGAGTAAATTCATTCTTTTGCAGCCTCTTTCCCAGGTTATAAAACCCATGCCAGGACTCTGCTTGTGCTTCAGGAAATTGTGAAAAGACCCAGTGCCAGCCCATTAATGGCTCCATCTTCACAAGTTTAAATAAGATGATGTTGTACAAAAAGAGGATGGTATTAAAAAAAAATATATATGATGAATTTAGTAATTTTGGCACTTCAATCTAATATAAGGAGGCTTTATCTGGTAATGAAACAGACTTAAATTACCCTTAATGCCTTTTTATGACCCAAATGAGACCATTGGAATACGATTTTTTATTTCAGTATAGTAAATCCTAAGCCTGTCACCTCTTCAACTGGCCGCAAGAGCATCTGTTCACCTTTCAGCAATGAGTGCAGGAAACCGGCTGAAGTTATTATTTCAATAAATTCAAAATAATTTTAAAAAAGTCATTTTTTCATTATTTCATTAAAAAGTAAACTTCCATATATTCTTATATAAGTTGATGTGTAAACTGAAATACACTTTGCTTTTTTCTGATGTTTTACAATCATGTAAATCAGATTTTTGGTATCATGAATTATTATAATGTTTCCCAGGATCAATCAAAATGTGATTTAAAATACAGAAATGTCCATCTTTTGAAAAGTATGTTCATTTTTACACATCTTCACGATGAATATGCGCACTTATGTGGTGTAGCCCAGGGGCAGTCTCCCTGCAGTAGGCACAATGAATGCAGCCATTGTTAAGAAAGTAAATATAAAGCATAGGTAGACATGAGTACAATTGTTGCTCTTTATTTATTAGTTGTCATTTTCTTATAAACTTGTATTACTATCATTATAAACACTCATTAATTATCATAAGGATTTATAACAATAAGCATAACATATTACATGCATGTTGAATTACCACCCGGAAAATCAATGTGTATAAATATAATGATAGCTGCTGTCATTACGATACATAACATAAAATCAGCTACTTATTAGAGTGAGCTGGCCTTGAGACCCTTTAGTGAATGAGGCCCAAGAAGTTATATGCATATTCCATGTGGTAAAGCAGCATTTGTCAAGAACCAACTCCTTGGCTTATATGAATAAAAAATGAAATATAACATGGTGTTGTTGTGGTGGAGTGAATGGCATTATTTGTGGCTGTAGAGTGGTGTTTTGGTTGAGGTTTGTTTATGGCTGCTTAGACCGCTGTGTATTGCTATCCTGCAGTTGTTACCAAAGTTGGTATAACTAGAGAAGCAAGGAGTCGGCAACATTCATCTCGAAAGGGGGGTCTAACTCTGTGATACAGTGTGTTTGACCATAACTTAATTTTACCCTGGAATATCACTTTAAGGGCCAGAAAAGCTGCTGAGAACAGGAGAGACCAGGCAAGTGTCACTAACGAAATGTGCATGTGTGAAAAAAAAAATACAGAAACATAGGGAATGGATAGATCAACTATTAATCTACAAAAAAGAACCTTCCAATAACTGCGTTCGCTCTGAGTGTATGTACATATTAGGATATTTTAATAATAAATAATGTGTTATAAAGACATAAATAAATAGGTAAAGTGCAAATTTTTATTCATATTCAATAGATATCTGAAACAAAAACAATTTTAACAGCTTTTAAATAAACTGTAAATATAATTAAATTGAGCCACAAAACCACAGGTTTGTTTTATGTACATTGAAAAAGAACAGCTTACTTTAAGATTAGAAAGAGACCCTGCATTAATTAATTTGTCCAATAAATAAACCAGGAACAACTGCATAAATAAATATTGTGCAAATTCAGAGAACCATACATAACTTTAAATAATCAATGAACCCCCTTGCAATTCTACTAGTTCAAAAGGAACTTACTTTAACAATAATTAAAGGGAATGTAACAGAGTTAACAAGCAAATCAGATAGTCAGTCACTCATTCAGACTGTCAATCTGTCAGACAGGGACAGTCAGTTAAATGTTTAATCCTGCTGCCGACTGCTTAATTTTGCAATGAGCATCATTTTAATGTTGTTTTCTGTAAGGCTCTGTCTGTACTGTGTAAGCAGCATGGCATAGTGTAAGAAAAGTCTCTCTACAGCCACTGAGGTAGTGGGGAGATGGAGGTACAATGCTGCAAGTGGGGCAAGATTGGGCATCCTGTTCTCTCTGGTGGCCCACCACTCCACAGGACTGACCTCCTCAGTGTCACTCTTGTCCATATGGATGTAGTGGTGCCATTCCTCAGCTGACACCCCTGTAAGAGCAGGAGCCACCTGGACGTTGTCCTGGATGTTTTTTCTCACACCAGCTACCTTTGCTGTGTCAAACACTGGGAGAGATTTAAAAAGCTCCATACTGGGGTGTGACACCATCACATTCTGCAACTTGTCAGAGCAGTCAGCCATGGTCTTCTGGAAGAGCTCAGTGCAGGCAGCACGGTCATCCTCATCCAGTTCCCTCAGCCTTTCTGTGGTCCCGGGATGCCAATCCTCAGCCCCTACATCGTGGCCATATTCAAACAGCATAAGGAGGTTCTCCAGTTTGGTAATGGTGGTCTTGATCTCAGTGCTGTGCTCAACAATCAAGATCACTTCTAGCAGCTCTTTCAGGTCCCGAACAGCCTTAGAGGACAGTGGTAAAGAGGATATGAAGTCACATAAAATATCCAGGTTCTCTACAAGGTACTGGACAGCTTCAATCCAGGAGCCCCATCTGGTCATCACAGCAAACACTGGCATAACAAGAGCCAAGCCCAATGCCTGCATGTAGGCCTGCAGCTCTTGGCGACGTTGAGGTGCCTTGCAGAACACTCTCTTCACAAGTGCACACACCCTGTCATCAAATGTATCTGGGAAGACCTGCAGCACCAAGTTGAGGAGATGTGCTAGACATGTGACATGTATGGAGTTGGGGAACAGGCCATGGTGTTGAAAGCTTTCTTCATGTAGCTTGCTGAGTCAGTGACAAAAGCCCATACCTCACTAAAATTGATGTTGTAACTGTTGACGTAAGAAATGTCTGCCTGGGACACAGTGTTAATGTTAACTCTGTCGATGAACACTATGGGTTCTATTTTCATGCCCGGCAGAGGGTGGTGGACCCCTCGCAGTGGTATTTTCATCTGGCAGAGCCCGGCACACGGCCATTTTGGTGGTAATGAGAAACACACATGATAAAGTTAACAAGATATTAAATTTGTCCTCCTTTCTCTCTTCCTCCTTTTTCTCGTGCAGCTCGACTCGGACATGTCCTTTCCCCGTCCTGATGCTGCGGTGGCAAGGCTGAACAGATGATTTATATTAGTGATCAGACAAATTATTTACTTCGAAAATTTGAACAAAAAAGTAAAAGAAACTTTCATTCAAAATAACCAGTTTATCTAATGTCCTCACATCCTTAAAATTCTGTGAATATTAAATCTGGAGTTAGGCGTTCATACAAATATTAAAATATTCAGTTGTGTGAGCTAAAATCATCTTATATGCCAATATCAATGAAAGATAGAGCCACGCCTTCTCTCCTCCCTTTTTACAACTTACGCTGCTGGGAGGAGCTGAGTTAGGGATGGGGGATACTTACATGGGGCTGCACTGCTTACCAAAATACCAAAGTGTGCTTGGGCATGCCTTGTCGGTGCGGCGGACCTGACTTATGCCGCACCTGCGCCACACCGCCGGCGAGGCACAGAAATAGAGCCCCAGGTCTGCTGCCAGAGGTGGCCTGCCAACAGTTTGCAGAAGTATTGCAAGGACACAGTGGCCACAGGTGTCTGTCCTCTCATCTATTAAAACATAATAATACTCAGAACAGCGCCCAACTTAACACCTAACAGTACATATAAGGTCCCAGCCATACTACTAGCCACCAAACATCTTTTTAGCTTTACTTGGTTTCTCAAGCAAAGAGACTGAACACAACTCACCCACTCTCCTCCAGCAGCTGCTTGTCTGTGGGGGAGCCCTGACGAGTCGATCACCGAGTGCCCCTTCTTTTGGGGGGTGGCTGACTCGGTGTTATGGTGTGTATGACCATAACTTAAAGTTATGCAGGAATATCCCTTTATGATCCTAAGAGGCAAACTAGAGGATCAACTGAGGCAGGGCTTGATGCTAACTTTTATCACAAGGAGCACATGTGCTCCTAAGTTAAAAAAGTAAGGAGCACACAAAGAACTTTAAAGGCAGAATGAAAATTGATCAAATAATGTGTGTCTTATTGGTCGACATAAGTACTATCATTTGAAATCAATTTTAGGTATTTTGGTCACATGACATGGAAGCTAGTGAAGAAAACGTTCAAAATTTGCTGTTAAATTAAACACAAACATTTTATGAGGACAAATTAGGGAAATAAAGAGGTGTGTCTTATTGGCCAACTTTAGTACTATTATTTCAAATTAATTTGAGGTCAAGTGGTCACATGACATGGAAGCTATTGAAGGAAAACAGCCTTTTCCTGAGAACACCAACCGGTAATTTATTAATGGTCCCTTATCCAATACCCGACGTTGACAGTGAGGGTGCCGAGTAGATTTAACGGCTGCTGTTGCCATTCCTGGTTATGGAGTGTGAGAAGACACCGGTAGATCCGCAGTGGATGTCCGTCGAATATCCAACCTAAAACTAACGTCACCGCTGTATTTACAGGAAAAAACATTTGTTGCCTTGGCTAACTTTTTTTATCCACACGTGCTCCTAAATACATTTTACAATTCGCACACATCTATTTTTAGTCGCAAATGCGAGTGAAACGGTCGCACAAACCCTGAGCTGAGGATAGATTTCCTTGTTGTATTAATATCTGAAATGGAGAAGCTTCCCCAGGGTAGGCATCATGCCAAGACTTGGTCTACAGAATAGCCTTTGTTTTGTGTGCAAGATTCACAGTGAGTGATGCATTTCACAGTTAAATGTCAGTGGGGTGACTTTTTAACACACACATTTGGGATAAATACAGTAAAGAAAAAAGAGGTAGATTTTTTTGTCCACAGGTGGTGCCAAAAGTTCCTTGCAGGAGCTTTGAATGTTAGGAAGCAGCCATGCACAGAGAATATCACGGCATGGCTGTAGCCTTCATGTGAGTTTTTATATTTATTAGATTTAGCAGTATGCCGAGTGAATCATTTGATGTTGAGGCAGTGAAAAAAACTTGTCTGAAGGATGAGTAAGCACTCAGTGAATTTCATGGTATTCTGCCTATTAGATCTTCAAATTAATGTTCTGTACTAATGGAAACTTGCCCCAAGGTGGCACCAGCAGAACCAAACACATTAGTATTCATTCCTTCTATCCCCACTTGTCAGTCACTTTTGTGTTTAGAAACTCAGATCGTTACCTCTTTTTGTATTATCCCCCTGGTCTTATCGGCCCATAGGCTACCAGCAATGTTTGCCAAATAAGACATCCAGGGATCCAGCTCATGAGAGGTTATTATGAAAATACATTACGAGACATAATTTCTATCGAGCCAAAGGGTCCATTAATTTGAGCTTAAAAGTGAATCCATTTGCAACGGCCGCCACAACAGCTCCTCTCTGTCTGAAGTCACTCACAGCCATTTGTAATTGCTTTGTGCCGTGAGTGGAATGGACGCATGCTCATGATTGAATGCACAGTAGGCATTGATCAGAGTGGGAGATATCTGGGGTTTCTTCACAGCAGAAATAATACTTCAGAGATGCCAACTGGGATAATTCCTAAAACTAAATGGTCAACAATTTAGATTACAGCTCTTAGCATTGACTTCCTGGTGTAAAACTGTCAAACAACTGCAGGCTACAAGCAGCTTGGTTTTCCTGTGGGGGGGATTTAGTGCTGTGGCAAATATTTACTTCCTAACCTCTGTTTAAGCCTTAGTTGATATTCAAAGTAGATAATTTTGGCTTTGTTAAATTTGCTCCTTAATTATGGCAGAGTTAATCCGCAACAAGTAAGTTTCGGTTTGGACTTTTGGTGGCTAAATTGTGTCTGCAGGGCACTGTCATTTCATGTGTCAACATGACTGTGTTCATCTTGGCAGCTATATTATATTTATTCCTTGTCAAGCCTTGTTCGTCCTTTATAGTTTTATGAAATTTTTGAGGACGAAAACTCTAAGACATTTTAATCTTGGTTTATTTGATAGAGTAGTTACATATGATCATTATTTGTTGTCAAACCTTTTTCCATCTTTCCAGTGAAAAGGCAAGAGTTTAGTTTACAATGGAAACATGAAATCAGCGTCACTTTTACAGCTCTGTGCTCATATGAACAGTACAACAGCGCCATCATCTTTTTGCGATCTTAGTTTGTCAAGGTTTTGTTTGCTACCGGGCTATTTAATGCACATTAACACTGTTCAACTTCTAGGTCAAAGCCAGCATTAGAACTCTAGTGCAGTCTAATTGAAGCATATACATTGAAGAGGAGAACTCAAACTGCATTATATGGGTTTGTCAGTCCAATCACAAGAAGTTTTATTTGGTGTGCTTTTAGATGGACAAACAGGTTAATCTGTATTTTTAAAGTCCAGTTTTAGTTGGGGTAAGGCAATAAATCATGTAAATGTACTGAACGTTAAACCCAGCCTGTGTGTGCCACCTGCTCATCTGTTTCTGCCGTGCTCCAGGATCAACCTCTGACACCGCTCTGCCATTTTCAGCTCTTGAAACACCAGTTCATCCACTTAGCTATTCGACCTTGCCTTTCCCTCTTTCCCTACTTGCTCTTCATCCAAGAATAACCAGATAAACCGTAGAACTGATTATTCTGTGTCTTAGTTTTACACCAGGGTCACAAGAAAAAAATAATGCTGTTCTCACTACACATATTTTTAAGTTACATGAATCTAAACAACAAATTAAAGTTAAACATCAGGCTCTGAAACAGACTACTGTCAAATTAAAAAAAAAAAAGACATAGGCTTGCAGAGTCAGCATCCCAGGAGTGAGAAATTGGCTATATTGCATTTTGAATTCACAAATCCAGTAAGTAGTCTGCACACATGAAATGACTCAGTCCAGTGCTGGATCTGGGGGGGTCCTTGTATCATTATATTCCTCTTTATATTCAGTGATATGCAGATGGCAGATGGTACAGAAAATGTGTTGATGCGTTCCCCCACATTTGAAATGTGATATATAGAAGTGTCACTTAGCAGGATATAATGTACCTCATCTACAGCAGCAGTTGCAGCTCCCCTCTGTCAGTGTCTACAGCAGAGTGTTCAGCTACATTCTGCTGTGCACCCACAACTGTTTTGACAGAGCTCACAGCCTTATACATAATTATGTGCTTATGCTCATAAGTGGATAAAAAATAGATTTGAAGCCCAAAATGTTGCTCTGGGTCACAGTTGAAATCCATCTACTAAAATAATGTTTTCATTCAAAATGGTTTTGCTTAATGTGTTTTTGGAGAAAATGTAATTGCTGCATATATTATGTTCACTTGCAGTGTTTTTGTCAGCCCACAGAGTCCCACAGTTTGCTTCGCAAAGAGGTGGCAAAGGTGGACAGGGTTGTTTGTACTGGTACAGAAAGCAGGACTTCATCTCTGTAGACCAGAGACCTGATTCAGTGACCAATGTGTGACTAAACAAAAACACCAAATGTTGGTTTTTAATAAAACTGGTTTGGCTTTTATTTGATAAAATCTCAAACAGGGGCCTTTCTGTGTTGGGTCTGCTCGGTCTCGCATGCATGAGTAGGTGCTGTTACGCCCCAGTCTAGGGGTGCCTAGGGCACAACATGAGAAGGCCTCATCTTCCCCAAGTCCCAAGTAGCCACAACAACAGAGATTCAGTTAACTTTAAAGACAATGATTTATTTGTATAAATCAGTAAATAACAAAAAGATATAGACAAAAAACTAAGGCTGAAGGACTAGGCTTCAGGGTGGACTAAGGCCAAAACAACAACCAAAAATGATCCTGTCTGTGGAGTAAGTCCTTACCTAACCAAACAAAGGAAACAAATGACAAAAGACTTACCTCCCTAACTAAAATACACCGGAGAAAATAAGGTTAACAAAACTGGCAGTCCACCCCTACTACTAAAGAAAAACAACTAAATACACAATGGTCTAACGCTGCAAAATAGGGTGGCCGGTTGGGAGAGGAGGAGGATGAGGAACGCCTGGCCTCTGCACTGCACTGCACATGGTGGCTGCCATCTTGGTTCCTCATAAAGCAGGTGTCATCCAATCACTGTCCAGGGCGTAGTCCAGCCCACCAATGACCGCATGGCTGTGGCACACACCTATTTGCATACAAGATTGAAGCACAAATACACAGAGCACACACACACAGCAGATACTCAACAAATTATGACCCCAGTCATAACATCCCCACACCCAAGAATTAAACATCTCCCTAAATGTTTAATTCCTACGGATTTGAGGAACACCGCGACAAAGCGTCTGCTATCACATTTTCTGTGAGGAGTTTCACGCACGGCAAATAACAGAAGAACGAAGCCCTCATCCCACTCTCTGTTGGACTCGAGGCAGTATTTGCGCATCATGGATTTTAACCCAGGCCAAAAGAAATTGCGCAACACACGATGATACGTCTTTTTAACACCGAGGTGGCCAGCTAAGCTGGAGTCATGTGCCAGACTCAAAATTTGCGCTCGATAGTCTGTTGGCACAACCACCTGATTAACAACGGGTATCTCCCTGGAGTCGGGACTCCACCGTCTCATCAAGACACCGTTGTCCACGAAAAACACACAAGTTTGGCTGTCGTCCGCGGCGGCTACAACAGAGGACAGACACAAATTTAGAGACGGATCAATTCTCTGAGCATTTATCAACATTTCTCGGGTTACGTTTAAACTCAGGTCTGCGTCAGCAGGAAACACATCAGGCTCAGAGACACATTTCGATACATTTTCACACACAGTAGCGGGGGACACTGAAAAGGAGGGCTCACCCTCATCTAATGTAGCCATAAACGAGTTACATAAATCCCCAGCTTTACCCCATTTACGAGCCTGTGCGCGCGTAACTGCGCACACAGGAAACACATTTGGCACAGACACAGCAGAAGAAACAGAGGTGGGGCAGCAGGCAGACGCAACCGAAATGGGATCGTTAACGACCTCTGGCAGAGGAAACACATTTCCGCCGGCCAGATCGTTACCCAAAATAAACGAAATGCCACTAATCGGAAACCGTGGGAGCACGGCAACTTTCACACGCCCCGACGCGAGCGGTGAATGCAAGTGAATCACGTGAAGTGGGGCGTTAAGTTCGCTCATTTTAATTCCCCACACTAACACATCAGAGAAACACGAAGTTTCATTTGAGAGTGGCAGAACACTAGCCAGAATGAATGAATGATAGGCGGCTGTATCTCGGAGAATAGTTACCGGTACTTTATCCGCTTCCTCGCCAGTTACAGAAACAAATCCTTGCGAAACGAACGGTTTGAAACGAGGGTCAACCTCCGCATTTACCTCGGCTTCAGGTAAAGACTCCGGGTGTGTTACAGGCGGGGACACGGTGTTAATGAAACCCACACCTGCAGGAGGTTTACCGTTTTTGTGTTGTCCTTTTTTTCTAAGAGTCGGACCTGCAGCGATCAAATGGCCTGGCTCGTGGCAATAAAAACACTCGCGGCTCTCACCCGCAGCTGGTGAGGTGCTTTTACGCATCAGCTTTGGCGATCGGTTTCTGCGCTCAGACGTGGGATGTAAAACACGAGGTGTTGGCAAAGAAAAAACGTTTTTATAAGTCAAAATGAACTCATCGGCAAGCACAGCTGCTTTCGTTACCGATTACTCTTTTTGCTCATTCAAATATACAACAATTCGGTCCGGCAAACACTTCTTAAATTCCTCGAGCAAAATGAGCTCTCTCATTTCCGCCATAGTTTTAATATTACACGCGTGGCACCATTTATCAAACAGAACGCTCTTGTCACGCACAAACTCAACATAGGTCTGGTTGGAAGTTTTCTCACTATTTCTAAATTTTTGCCGATAGGCTTCAGGGACCAGCTCGTAGGCCTGCAACACAGTCTTTTTCCAAGATTTTATAATCCAGACTATCCTCAATGGACAGACTGGCACAGACTTCTTGAGCTTTCCCCACTAATTTACACTGGAGGAGAAGGGACCAGAACTCTTTAGGCCAACTCAGGGCAGCAGCTATCCGCTCGAAAGCGCTAAAATACGAGTCCACCTCGGACTCACGAAACGGAGGGACTAAAGCAATGTGCTTACTTATGTCAAAAGCGGGAGCAGAAACAGAGCTGCGGTCAACAGGAGACACTGGGGTAGAGGCTACAAAGGCTCCTTTTTCCAGCTCGAGAACCCTTAAGCGCAGATGCAAGGCTTGTACCTCTAGCTGTTTGTTTCGGGTCTCTGCCTCCTTTATTTGGAGTGCTATGCGGAGATCCTCTGTGGTCATGGTACCCATGAGAGGATCCGTGACCGGCCCAAGCTCCGCACCAGCAGTGAGCGTGCCAGCAGCCCCCGCCGCTTTCACCTCAGCCCCTGGTGCGACACTAGCCACGTCACCCGCAGCAACCGCATCAAGCGCTGGTTTAGGTAAGACACCCTTCTCCACCAACTGTGCACACAGCAACTGCTTGAGCTCTGCTTTATTGACATTGTATGGTATTTGTACATTAAAGTAATTTGCCACAATCAACAGGTCTGCTTTCTTACATTTTTCAATTTGAGCAAAAGATGGACTGGCCATAAAATCATCCAGTGAAAAATCCATAATTCCCCCCACACACAAAAAAAAACTACCAACCAGAAAAGTACATACTCACCGAACAAAACGCGACAAGAAGACGGACGAGCCCCCAATTCATGTTACGCCCCAGTCTAGGGGTGCCTAGGGCACAACATGAGAAGGCCTCATCTTCCCCAAGTCCCAAGTAGCCACAACAACAGAGATTCAGTTAACTTTAAAGACAATGATTTATTTGTATAAATCAGTAAATAACAAAAAGATATAGACAAAAAACTAAGGCTGAAGGACTAGGCTTCAGGGTGGACTAAGGCCAAAACAACAACCAAAAATGATCCTGTCTGTGGAGTAAGTCCTTACCTAACCAAACAAAGGAAACAAATGACAAAAGACTTACCTCCCTAACTAAAATACACCGGAGAAAATAAGGTTAACAAAACTGGCAGTCCACCCCTACTACTAAAGAAAAACACAACTAAATACACAATGGTCTAACGCTGCAAAATAGGGTGGCCGGTTGGGAGAGGAGGAGGATGAGGAACGCCTGGCCTCTGCACTGCACTGCACATGGTGGCTGCCATCTTGGTTCCTCATAAAGCAGGTGTCATCCAATCACTGTCCAGGGCGTAGTCCAGCCCACCAATGACCGCGTGGCTGTGGCACACACCTATTTGCATACAAGATTGAAGCACAAATACACAGAGCACACACACACAGCAGATACTCAACAAATTATGACCCCAGTCATAACAGTGCCCTCCAGGAACTCAGGCTTCCTTCCACAGTCCAAAGACATGCTCATTAGGTTAATTGGTGACTAAATTGCCTGTAGGTGTGAATGTGATGGGTCTGGTTGTTTGCCTCTCTATCTTGGACCTGGGATGACTGAAAACAAGTACAGGGTAAACCCTACCCCTTGTTTCGCCTCAGCGTCAGCATGCTGGGCAAACTCACACTTAAGGAACTAGCTCAAAGTTGAGTTCACACAGATTTAAATGAACTAGTTCAAGTTCAGTTATTTATTTATTTATTTTTTAGCTTTTAAAATAAGTTTGTGGTCCAAAAATTGACCTAGATTAAATTCTTTATTTTGTTGCACCTATTCTTTGTCAGTAGAGCCACCTGAGTCCCTGTCCTTTACCCTCAATCACTGACACTCACTGAACTAAATTGATTTTCATATTCTACCAAAGAACCATAGACAGATATTCAAATATGAGCACCAAGTCAACAGGAGAAAAATCTACAGCTTTGAAAACTTAAACACACATTTAACCCAGCATGAATGGAAATTGAAGTTATTGTGGCAACTCAATATTGTGGATATTCAAAACTCACTTTTAAATTTAGCCAAGTCCAACACAGCAAGAGATGTTTCAATTCAAAAGACAACATTTTATTAAACTCAACTTTAATTTGTAAAATATTTAATTCAACAGAAAGCTAAAGATGTCATGCACCCAATTTAAATGAAAGTAATAATACAAGACAGCGCTGAGGCAAAGAGTGGATAAAACAGGCAGGGGCTCACAGGCACAGCACATTACAAATCACCAATACCATCACAGAGCAGAACCAATTACAGACGGCAACATGTATCACCTGCAGCTACGACACAAAACAAAAGGCTGTACCATAGAGAAGATGGTCATGTCCAATCAAATGATCCCCACACCAGGCTGCTGTCACAAGACCAGGAAACAGAAGGGAAGAGGGTAAGACACGCACCTGAGTATATTAGTGTGTACAGCATTCGAGAGCCAGTATTGTCCGCACAGTGCCATGCAGCAGCAGGGAACTATAATCTGCTGTCTGAATATTTGGCTCATGTTTGTGTCTGTGAGTTACAAATTGATCAGTTCAGTTCACTTTTTACCAATCTATGAGTGTTTAAAGAACACATTCATTTGCGATCATACAATGCTGTCCAGCCCTGTACGACCCCAAATGTAAGGGCAGACATCAGCTGTGAGAACTGAGGCCAGCTGATTTTCAAGTCATGCCTAGGTTCAGCCTGATCATGTGTTAGCCTATAAGAAAACTTACATTAAGTAGAGCAGACACAATGAGATAACTGCGCTGATTTTAGGCCCATGACCCCCTCCTACAGAAGACAGCTAAGGCGCAATTATGAGACATGTTAGGAGTCATATTTTTTCCCCATGAAGAGGATGAGAACTGCCCTGACTAAAAATCATAAAATTTAAACATGTTCAATATTTATGACCAGTCCTTGTGTTTGGGGAAACCCCGAAGGCCATCCAGCATGCAGGTTGTCCATTGTCATGTGAAACAAAATTATGGTCATTTGTGAAGCAAGCTGACTGAAAAGGGAAGCACAGCAAATGCAGCCATGGCAACAGTGGTAAACAGGAAGCAGAAACTTATCTCAATGGACATCAGAGTTATTGAACCCGTACATTGGTACCTGGTGGCATCATGAGTGTTTACACAACACTTGAAAATAAAAACTTCCACTGCACACTGCAGCATGTGTACAAGTAGGCTTAGTAGCTCGAAATGATTCGCTGCTGAAGTCTTCCATGTTTGTGTGCTGTGTTCACCCACATCATTGCACATCATGTCCAAGTAGTGTACATATATATATATATATATATATATATATATATATATATATATATATATATAAAGAAAAAATAAAAAAGTATATATAATTATTATAAATGTTGATTATTTTAATTTTAAAGTATAGGGTTATTAGTTCAGCCTTATCTACCTACCTTTACCTCTGGTGTAATAATGGGCAGTCAACTCTCACTTTCATAATTAGATAGATATACTTTATTTGTGTCAACAAAATTAGGAACCAAACCTTGTTGCGTGACAGTTTTTCTTTTTTTTTTTTTTTTTTTCCGGGCCATTTTCAAAAGGGAAGTTGATTGTATATCTGACTGATGGGGAGAACACTCTCTAAAACCTGTCTAGTTTTGAGTTTTGAAGCTTCAGAGACTAGTGGTGCTGTGATCTTCCATCTACAGAGGAAATATAACTGTGTTGTGATGAGTGGGACCTGTTGATGCCCAACATTGTTGGTGTGGATGTATCCAGGGGTTAAACCTCAGACACTGTGTGACCACGTGAGAGGACTTGTAGTGGACGCCGTTTAACAATGCGCAAATGCCCGATCAAACTATGTTGTAGCTGGTTTCGTGGCTGCTCAGCTCTGCCTCATTACTTGACCAAAGTCAGAAATAGAATAGTTCTCCTCATCAGTCAAACACACACAAACACATAGGAAAATAGGACCCAGGCCCACACCTTAGTTCCCCTCCAAGGTGTCTGCTCATATTTGATTGATATATAAAACCTGTATGATACAAATATAGTTAAAGTTGTGTACTCTGGCGTGTGGTGAAGAAAATGTGTTCATCTAGGGCTTGTGAAGGGGACATTTCAAGGACATTTTAAAGAAATAGGGTAAAACAGTGAGGCTGGCCGCAAAGAATGGCCGTTGTAGGTATCAGGGTTGGCGTTAATGAGCTCTAAATGCATGGTACTTATGTAACATTATCAGGACAGTTTCCTACATGACCTGTTTGAACAGATATCCCTGTATCCCATCTGTTAAAGTCATAGATAAGATACAGAAACATCAATGGACTCTTCAGCACTTGTGTGTGTTTTTGCAGTTTGGTAGTATAACTACACACATTCATGTCATTTGCTCTTAAAACTATAATGCAGAATACATACAGTCACCATTTGCATGCTGTCTCACAGCTTTTAATCATTTTAGTCACCGAGGTCTCTACAAAAGCATAATCTTTGGCCGTGATTTGAGAACTCTCATCTGTAATTAAATGATAAGGTGTTTATGCAAATATATCTGATTTCTGTTGGCGGCACAGCAGCAGCTGTTTGAATGAGGAGGTTGAGATAGGACCGATCATTGATTAAATAGAGAGTCTGTTAGTGTCATCCCACTTGCACGCTGTCTGTAAGACACTCACTTTCTCACCTTATCAGTTTGGCAGATTAGCTGTGAAAGTAATACTGATGCTGTGAATGCCATCAGATATATTTTAATAGGAACTGTGGCAGCTTTGCATTTACAGCCAACCTCCTCTTACACACACACACACACACACACACACACACACACACACACACACACACACACACACACAAATATGGGAAGCATATCCAGTGCTTTTGAATAGCTCTCATCAGTCATCAAATTATCTGCTCACTCCAGCAGCGGTAAATACATCAGAATGTTTGTGTCATTAAAGCAGCAGGAAGAACAGTGCCATGAAATAAAATAGCTGAATGCTTGTGTAATTACAAATGTAGGTCATCTGGAGCTCCGCATGGGCTTTGGGAATTGCAATTCCTCCCAATTTTTTGAGTTTAACATAATTTCCTTAACATTCATACTGTAAAGAGGATGTAATAAAGTCCCTGTGATGGCGGTTGCGGTTACTTGCATTCAGTCAAGCCAGGTGGTTTCCTTAGGGTTTCAAGAGGCTCATCGTGTCAGCATTCAGGAGTTTGAAGCCAGCCGTGATGAGGCCTGTCTTGGACAAGTGCTACTTCATGTTAAGGAGGAGATCTTTTTCTCAAAGATGCCAGGAGAAGCAGAGGTTGTGGTGTCACATTTGTTTTAATATCACAGGGGTAAAGGAGAGGAGAAGGGTTCACAAGAGCTAAATGGAGCCTCAAGCCCCCTGGACAGTACTGATTTCCAATCCCAAGCACACCCTCCTGACCTATCCCTGAGTTGTGAAGTGCCCCAATTTGGGTAGTGGTCCTTCAGAAGCAAAATGTAAAGTCTCAAGATAGTACGTCCCAAGCAGAGTAACATAATTGAAGATTTATAGATGTGGAGGCAACTGTGTTGACAAATGTTCGTTGTTTTATCAATATTGTGACAACAGGTTTTCTCAAATATTACGAGAGATAATGATCTCTTTATCTGCTTTGTGGGGTCTTTTTCCCCATAAATGTGGGTAAACTAGAAGGCCACATGGTTGGATCAACTTCAGGCGTTCTAACAAATCATGGCAGCCATTTTCCCGGCTGTTATGTGTGCATCCATTTGGTTTTAGAGTTTGGCCTGATATTCGCTCATTGCGGCTCCTCTAACCTCAGGGACTGAATTCAACATGAATGAACACGTGGCGTAAATCTTGAGAGACTAAGAAAAGTAAGACTAAGTAGTAAGAGCTAAGAGAAAACAAAAATGAGGGACACAGAAGGGTGTGAACAATGAAGAGAGTGAAGAGAAGAGTTACAAGAGAGTGAGCACCCCCTATACTGGTTTTATCTCCTTCACACTGGGAGTGTCTCTGGGGTGTGTGTGTGTGTGTGTGTGTGTGTGTGTGTGTGTGTGTGTGTGTGTGTGTGTGTGTGTGTGTGTGTGTGTGTGTGTGTGGAGAAAGAGGTGGGGTCATGGGGTCTCTGGCTGCAGAGGAGACCTCTTGGATCCCTGATTAATTGATCTAACTTATACTTTTGGCTGGTACAAGAGTCAGATCTGATACTCACTCACTATGATTAATGTCATTGAATGCTTGGTTTCATGATAAATAATTTGATACTAAACACATATGAATGACACGTAGAATCACATCAAACATTCTCAATACGTTTGAAGTATCACACTGAACATGCTAAATTACTCTGAAGTAAAACAGATGCTAACACATAGAAACTGAACAACAAATGAACTTCATCATGAGTAATAATGGATTCTAAATCTCACATACAGATTACTTAGTGACATTATAACCACCTTGTGGTTAAAAATACTAAATAAACAATTGAAAAATAAACCAAACATTTCTAAACTATTTTTATTACTTAGAGTAAAGTTATGAGTCATAGGCAATAAATTTAACTCTTAAAAGTTCATGAAACAGTCTGAAAAGCTGTTGGTCCAAAGAAATCAAAGAACAAGGGCTCTATTTTTGTGTACGCCGGTGAGGTGGCCGAGGGTGGCTGACCCCGCACAGTTATATTTTCGTCTGGCGGAGCCCGGCGTACAGCCAGTTTGGTATTTCCGTGGACTGAGGCACACGGAGGAGAACCGAGATACGCCAAGCTGGGCGTGGTGGCGTGGCAGGGGGAGGTGTCGACAGAATCAGCGGGCGCAGTGACATTTTTGTGCTCGCCAGTGGCGTGTAAAGTGTGCTGAAAGCTCGCCGATTCAAACCTGGTCAGCTTTCAGCGCAGGCGGAGTGCAGCTAGTCTAGTGGTATTTTGGTAGACCGGCGGCGTATCGGCATACGTCACCGATGCCTCACAGGCAAGTTTCCACAGTGTCAGGAACATTTCAGTGCAATAAATAATCATCAACAACTAATAATCTGAGTCAGCACATACATTTAGACCTACATAGATATATTCTGATCTATATTCTGATCTATATCTGATCTGATGAGCGCGTTTGGCACGCGTTTGAACACACAACCTGACCAAATCAACACAGCTGAAACCGCATTAAATTAAATTAAATAAATAATTTAAATATCTAGTAAATAAACACACATGATGAAGTTAACAAGATATTTAATTTGTCTCCCTCCTTTTCTTTCTTCCTCTTATTGCTCACGCAGCTCGACCTGGACATGTCTCCGTGTCCTCTCTCCATCCTGCTGCGGCAGGTGAACAGATGATTTGTTTCAGTGCTCAGATGAGTTATTTACTTTAAGCCTACATACGAATATTATAATATTCAGTTTTGTGAGTCAATTGTATTTTATATGCCAACATCTATGAAAGAAAGAGCCAGGCCACGGAGCGCGAGAGGGCGTCATTTACGCACAGATGGTTCCGATTTTAATGCCATTTTTGGAGTTAATGTTGTGATCTGTGTGCACAACCCACCTTTGTCATGTGAGGTTTGAATATCCCTTTCATGCATGAATTATGATATATTGAGTTAAAAAATTCTTACTATGTGTTTTTATTCAATATAAGGCATATAAATAATATTGCAGTTGGAATTTTTTTTTTACCTGTTTCTGCTAAGTTTTTAGTGACATGTCCACTAAAGCGGACAACATGCATTTGGACGACATTACAGAAAATGAATTGTATTAATACAAATAATAGAACCCCACCCCAAAAAGGAGTCAAAACAATTAGATTCACATTTTAAAACATTTAAATTCTGTTTAAATGCACATTTCAAAACATGGCTTGTGTCAAACAACAGCAACAACAACTGTCAACTGTGTCAAACGAACTGAAACCATGAGCCTAATTAGGCTTCAGGCCAGGTGCTACAACTTCAGCCAGCACACTCAAAGCAAAAACAAATGCCATATATTGGATCATTCATGAAAATAATAATTACAATAATAAAAGAAATAGTGCCTTAGTGACTATCCAAACACATTCAGTTGTCGATGCCCTGTACTACATTAGTTCACATTTGAAAAGAAGGCACACAGTGATATTGCATCGCTGGACGATGGCAGTTCCTCTACATTTCTGTACTTCCTCTGGTCCCTCTCTGTGCGTGAACCCTGCATATAATAAATAACATAATGTGAAAAATATTGCACAACCAATCAATCTTTCTTTCTATTTATCTTATATATGTATATATATTTTTTCCATTGTTTTTATAATATTTTGTGCATGCACTGTTAGTAGTGTGTGTGTGTGTGTGTGTGTGTGTGTGTGTGTGTGTGTGTGTGTGTGTGTGTGTGTGTGTGTGTGTGTGTGTGTGTGTGTGTGTGTTACAATGCGTGCACAAAATATATTTTTGCAAAAAATGTTTTATAAACATTGCAAAACTTGCACAAAGGCTGCACAAAATACAATATATACTATGCATGCACAAAATATAAAATACATGCACAACATTAATTTTTTGATACATACAATACAGGTTACCTTTTAATAACATAAAATGGTTGGTTTTAACTGAAAAGGTAAGCTTGAAATCAAGCATTTTGCAGAGATAAGGAGTTACACCATTTGCATGTATTGTAGTAGAAATAGTGTAAGTCATGCATGCTGTCCACCCTAGTGGACAAATGGAAAATTCCAATTTCCTCAGAACATAAAAGCAATGCATGGAATTTTTTGCAACTATAGTAATTATTAGATGTTACTTTATCCCAAAATATTTTTTTTACCTGCAGGGCTCTGCTTTTATAAAAGGAAGCAGTGGAAATCCCAGAGGTGGAGGGTCTGTTCTCAGCAGAGGCAGCCATCTTGAATGTTGACGTGTTTTTTCTGCAGTTGCAACACATGGCCACATGGCACCAGTGTTGGACTCATTTTCCAGGGTCTACTGTAGTGGCTAACATGCATTTGTAACATCAAACCTCTATTTTTATAATAGAAAATGACCTTTGAAGATTTGTCCACTGTAGTGACCGTTATACGTGAAAGGGTTAAATGCAACTTTATGTGAGTGTCTTTATTTGTGGAAAAGGGTGTTTGTCTTACCAGTGGGTCCAACATTACACACACCAAATCCATCTGTGCTCATATGAGAGAGTGTGGAGGACGCCCAATGCAGCGCTTACAGTGACACTTGTTGAGGGGCTGCCTTCTGTCGCCATCGTGTGGCATTGCTGTCTTCAGACATCTCTTGATCTCTTTGACTACTTCATGAAAATAGTAATACACCTCGCCGGTGGCGGATTTAAAGGCGAGGAGAGGAGCTTATGTGATTGGTGAAAACAGGTCTCGGCTGTGTTAAACCCACTCCACGCCCTCTCTCCTCCCTCGCTACGACTTACGCCACTGGGAGGAGCTGAGTTAGGGAGGGGGGATACTTACGCCGGGCTGCGCCACTCACCAAAATACCAAATTGTGCTTGGGAACGCCTTGTTGGCGCGGCGGACCTGACTTATGCCGCGCCTGTGGCACGTCTCCGGCGAGGCACGAAAATAGAGCCCTCTGTTTCTGCTCTCCAAATTGACCAATCATGAAAAGCCAGAGGTTTCGGTCAACCTCTGGTCGGGTCAGTTAGGTAACCTGAAAGGGCAAACAAGTCATGAAAGATTTATATGATCCTGTGTCCTGGGACCAGATAAAGAACCTTTCATGTGAGGAATGTATTAGTTTCACACAGTTTTCTTGGTGCTACAAGTCATCACTCTAAAAAATCCTTGTTTGCACCCCTCACTTAAACAGTTACTGTGGCCAAACCGTACTGGATATCGACATGCCGTCTACACTTTTAAAATCACAGGTCTGGTGTAAACGTTTTGCTGTGTGAATCACGCTTCTACATCAAAGTATGGCAACAGGGCAAGGTGTCAAAGTCATGCAAAATATCGATTTTTTTCTCCCCATCTCCCATCCGCTTGCATTGGGAAATTTCTGCCACTTTTTGGCTTCTAGCGTCACCATGGAAACAGTAATAATAGAGAAAAGTAAAACCAAACGTCGCATGATGGAGATGCACGTTTTGATATATGCCATGCCTGGATGCACCTTACCGTTGCTCACAAGGCTCGCAAGGCTTGCAAGGCTGGCGACTTAGCAGGCTTATAATTATCCATTACCTCTGTCAGATTATGTTAAATGTGTTTTTTCTTTGTAAATGAGGGTTTGATTTATTTGTTTAAAATACATTTTGTGTTCAATGACACATGAAAATATAAGTGATCCAAATCATGGGTCAGGTTTTTGCGTGGACTTCTAAAGACTACTCAGAATAGTGAGCATGATGGTGAGCTACCCAGACAGTGGTAATCATCCAACTGTTATGAGCTCAAACTAAACTGTCTTCCTCAATAAAAGGACTCATGAAGGAACAAAACGACTGAAATAGTTTCTTGGATGAACACATTAACATTTCCTAGTTCCTTTTGTGAACTCAAATTGACATTTAATTTGGCATTAGCACGTTGCGAGTGTTACACAAATGTCTCGTTTTGCAGCTGGTTTGGACACATTGATTTTACTTGCTTCACTGAATTTCGTAAACAATTAAACTTTCTGCCTTCTGCAGTCTGACTCCCCACTGTCCACTGATTTCAAGCTCCTTGAATATTACCACTTTAAATATTTATTTCTGATGTCTCCCTTAAGTAAAATGTCCCAAAGTACAATGTGTGCATTGAAAAAAGAAGCCTCAAAAAGCCACAACTGAAGTAAAATACTTTGTTTACAATGCATTTATCTATTCAAAAGGTCAATGGAGGAAATGAAGCAGAAATAACTTTTTAGGAGAACTGACTATGGATCATTTATTACCTTATTTGTTTTGTTTTACTTTCACTCAGTAACCACTGGGATCCGTTGCGACAGCTTTGGGTTTGAGTTGTGGTTTTTACCCTCATCAAAGACACAGATGTTGCATAACAGACTGCTTTGAGATGAGATTATAAAACACAACTGATGCTTCGCTGATTCAACACAGCAGAAAGCAGACCATAAAGCTGCAGAGTGACATCACAGAGAAGATTTATGGACTAAGTAGGCGACTGGTTCAGTCTGATACGTCACTGTAAATATAAATCAAGGCTTTCTTTTGCAAAATTACTCGTATTTTCAATGTTTGATACCTGTACTGGAAAGCATCAGGCCTCCCTGTCCACCATGTGGTGGATCTGAATTCTACTGCTGGTGCACTGGCCCTGAAGCAAAGTCCTGCATCTTCGTCACAACAGTCACTATACGAGGTGTATTACAATGAACTCAGGCATGCATGTCATCTCTGAGAGCCAGGAGTTTTTTGTGCTGTGCAAGAAAGCAAACACCTGCTGTGCTACGCTCCAGATGACCTCGAGCTGTCCTAGTCAGGCATCAGTACAGTAAGCTCAAGAAAAGCATGGGCTGCTGTGGCACTCAAAGTGGCAGAGGGAGCCAGGCTGGAGCAAAAGGAATGGCTGAGTGAAGACCTGGTCTGGGAATACAACAGCAGCTCCGAGTGGGGTGGCCCAGGGGAAGAGGTGCAAGTCCAAAGACAAAGTGAGCAGAGGAATAAACGGGGCCGGTTGAGTCTTGGGTCTGATGTTTACTTCTTTTAAAATAAGTTGAGGGGAAAGTTTGGAGAATAACTGGGACAGTGGGGGGTACAACCGCAACCTCCCAGTCAAAGCTAACAGAGCTGATGGACTGTTTTGTGGAGGATGACAGATCTTTTAAGAAGGCTGCTTGAACAGTGTTTTCCTGACAAAAAAAAAACAAAAACATTTTTTTTGTACTGGTCTTTGTAGCATTTCATTTCTCAGCAAAGAATACAAAGTAAACAAATGTGGAGTTAATCTAGACAAAACAATATTAAGTTTTTAGTTAACTTGTTTGAAAATTAATGTTGACTTTGCACAAGGAATGTAGTTTTTGAGCAATCTTCTACTTTATTCTTTTTTTTTCAAAATTTTAAATAGAATAAAAAATTCTGTATATTGAAAATTTTATAGACATGAACATATGTAGTGATCTCCTTGGCTGCACTTATCCTACTCTTCTTCATCATTGTAAATATCTGTGCTTTGGAGCCTAAACACTGTTGTTATCCACATACGGGCACACCAGAGACCCTCCCCCTCCCTCTCCGTACTCATTCTCTCTCGCCTTTCCCCTATCTTGTTGTCTCTCTCCCTCCCCCTGTCCTCTCCCCCTCTCCCCTCTTCTCTCTACATTCCTCCCCAACCCAGCAGCGGCATGGTGGCTGTCTAGCATGAGGCTGGTCCTGCCCAAGGTTTCTGCCTGTTAAAAGGAAGTTTTTCCTTGCCACTGTAACTCATGTTAGTTGAGATAGGCCAAAACCCATCTTAGGTTGGTTCTTGATCATCAAACAATGAGCGTGGTCCAGAACTGCTCTTGTTCCTTGAAAAGCGTCTTGAGATGACGACTGTTGTGAATTGGCGCTATATAAATAAAATTTGATTGATTGATTGAAAAAAAAAAAAGATGAGTTTCAAAGGGAGTTAAGCAGGGAACCAAAGTGGGTAACTTGAGTAGTCTCTATACAGATACAAGAACTAAAAATCAGACAGGGCTTTGACTTACATCTGTCTAGAATGCACTCAGAGACATAAGTGGGATGCAGAAGTTAGCATTCCTGGACTGCTGATTATGTGACTGTATCTTCATATTAAAAGAGACTCAACTTATTGGTCCAAGATGTTAGATTAGTTAAAATTCTGTTTAATAGTTGGTGGGTTGCAGGTATTTTTGACTTTATTCAAAACCTGTTGACAGGATCAGGTAAGATTCTCATGTCAATGTGTTTTCTACATACTCTTAAAGGCTCTCAACAGTCATTCCAGGTTCACACAGAGAAAAGTTCAGAGTGGTACAGCTCTTTTTCTTACCATGAATATTAATAAGGTGGATTCAACTTTGACTTTACCAGGATTTGTCTTCTGCGACTCAAACTTGACTCAAGACTCAAGTCCAACCTCAGGTGTTTCAACTACTGACAATACTTCTGTGAGACCTGTTCATTTATCATGCACAAAATTAACACTTGGAGTAAAACTGTGCATCGAGAACCTTGTTTATTAACATTTTACCAGCTTTATGTTCAACATGACTTCAGTTTCGACTCATTTGAGGTGATTATTTCACTATTTATGTCATGAAATACAGTCAAATTAAAAAAGTTACAAAGTGCCAGATTGATGCAGTCATACACATTTATCACCATTAATTTTGGAACATTTATATCATCATTGTAAATCCTCAATTAAAAACCCTCACCATCTGGCTCTGACTGCAGCTTATAGTGCTTTGTATTCATGCTACATTGCTCTGCACCATCCAGGCAACTGCATAATTTCCCAAATAAGTTTATTTCCGTTTGCTCAGATGTTGTTGACAGAACATAAACAATCATCCAAAAATAACCCATAGCAGTTGTTGTCAATGTCCTCAAATGTAACATATAAATAAATCATTAAAAAGCTGGTAAGGTTTCCCTCTAAGTGAGGGTTACTTACAGGCCTTTCTTTTTTTCAGTTTGATGTTAGTCATATCAGTCAATCAATCAGACATTTGATCAATACAGCAGGGTCTAGTCTGTGTTTGTCATACTATTGAGAGACTGGACATCAATCCAGCATGAGCAAGCACTTTGCAACATTTGGCAACAGTTGTGAGGACACATTTCTTTGAACAGGGCAAAACGAGAGGAAAGAAATGTAATGAGTATTCATTCTTCATTTTGGCATGAACACTGCTTCGTCATTTTTAGAGGCCATTACTAACTCAGTGCATTGCACATCCCTACATACTCTTGCCTGATGTACTTGTTGCATGTGTGTTTGTAGATCCAACAGTCGTAAACGGGATTCGAACAGGATGTAAACGTGAATAATATTGGTGGATTATTAACGTGTTGGAGCTGGATGACTGATAATGCTGACTGTTTTAGACACCAGAGTGAATATAAGAAAATTTTCCCTCTGTTATTTTATGTAATATCTCTGTTAAACATTGGAGACTGGTGATGAAGTTTATTACACTTAATACCAGAGTTTATATCTAATCGCTGCTGCTGCTGCTGCTGCTGCTGCTGGGGGGGGGGGGGGGGGGCTCAACTGCATTGAACAGCTTTGGGGGGACCCAGCTCGCAACAGGTTGAGAACCCCTGGTCTAGATCTTTAGTTTTCCTCTTTATCCTGGTGGCCCATTGAAAAACATTGAAAACTAGGTCATTTGGACATGTCCTTGGAAAACAGGATGTTTGGTCACCCTACCTAGGTTTTGTGTTTCATGGCAAGGTCGAACAACAGAAA